GTTTTGATCAATATAGTGCTAATTGGAGCAATTCTCCTGCTTATGGTTGGAATAATCAATGTACTTATAGTGATAATTCATGTTTTTATGATTACCAACCTGAAAGTGTCCAATATGAATCAAAACCATCTTGGGAGTTGGCAATAGAAAGGCTAGCTAATGCATTTTTGCCTTGGGAGTTAGAAAGTGAACCATTAGCTAATGATTCTAATGCATCTTGGGAGCTAGCTGTAGAAAATTTTTCTAATCAATTTGATTTAACATTAGAAAAGCTAGCAAATGCAACTTTCGACCGTTTTGATAGGATTGAGGAAAGAATAGATGAATTAGCTTCTCACTTTGGTCAAATACATGAGCAATTGAGTGCATTGTGTGAAGTTATTTCCTCTAATAATGTGCAAAATGATCCTAGCATGAATGGTGGGAATGTTGTATGTGAAAATGGGTTGCATTTTGATGAAAATGATGAATCTCAAGAGTGTTTTAATGAGCAAATATCCATTTCACATGATAATATCTTTGGAACTAACTTTGAACCTCAAGAGGTGAGTTTTAATGACTCATTTTTCACCCCTCTTGAGGAGTGCATTGAAAGTATAGGTTCTAAAGGTATTCCTGCTCAAGATACTCTCATGACATTTCCTTTGGTAAGTTCTCAAGTGGTGCATATTCAAGGTAATATCTATGAAACACTTGGAATAGGTAAGCTACTTCCATTTCTCACATCATTAGATCTTGTGGCTTTTGCTATAAAGTCACCTTTTAATGATCCACCACGACCTAAAATGGTGGATTATTCGTTAACTAAACCTCCTTGAAAAATGAGGTGATATAGTCAAGCTAATGACTATAAAGAAGCGCTTGTTGGGAGGCAACCCAACGATTTCTTGTTTTTAGTAAGTTTTGGTTGTTTGATTAATGTTTTTGTGTGTTTTGTAGGTAGCAATGACAAGGAATCATGCGAATTATTTCAAGTGCAAAGGAGTTTATAAGGAGTGGAGACTAATGCGATAAAGGGAAGCTTAACCTTTATTTTTTGAGTTTTACAATGCTTAATTTTATGTTATGAGGTTAAGTTAGTCATTTGAATGAAGTTGAAGTGCATTCAAGTGTTTAAATGTGTTCATGACCTATTTGCACTCTTTTGAACCATTTGAGCACCATCATGTGCTTTGGAAGTGTCGAGGGGACTATTTGATCCAAGAACTTCAACCCTCAATTTGGATTCTACATGTTTTTGATTTGATTTGAGGTGTTGAGATTCATGTTTAAGTCACTTTCCATGTGTGTAAAGTGTTGAATTGTTCAAAATTTCATTGTAGAGCACGAATTAGAGAGTGTGTTTCAAGTTGGGGCCAAACTAAAAATTGCAGAAATTTCTGCAATAAATGCAGAATCCACGGATCCGAGCTCGGATCCATATGGATCCAAGGCCTCGGATCCACTTCTGCAATCAGAGAAAACTTCGTGCCACGGATCCGAGCTCGGATCCATATGGATCCGAGGCCTCGGATCCACTTCTGCAATCAGAAAAAATTTGAGCTTCTTGATCCGAGCTCACTTATCATGATCCGACCTCGGATCCTTTCAAAAACGACCTCGGATCCTTTCCAAACGAAGCCTCGGACCACTTTTCTTCATTCTTCCCTCTTTTTCCTCCTTCAACTCCACTTTTCTTCTTGTTGATTGCAACCTTTTATTTTTAAGAAATTTATTTGTTTTTATTTTGTCTTTTTCAGGGTGCAATAAGTGAACTCTCCACTCTTTCTTAAATACAGTTGGAAATTCATCACTTGGACATGGATTCGGATTGCGCAAGTTCAATTGAGCAGTATTTTCTTTTACTCTTTATTTATTTTCCTTTTCTCACATTGAGGACAATGTGAAGTTTAAGTGTGGGGGAGGAAATTATTGAACTTGCATTTTAAGCCTATGTGATGATATTTTGTGGATTTAAATGCTTAGAAATGTTGGAATTGTGTTTGAAATGTTTGCCATGTGGATAATTTGCTTGAAATTGGGTTTGTTGGCAGGGAGTTTTCATCCATTTATAAGGAGAAACTCTGTGAAATTTTTTCTAAAATCTTTTCCAATATTTCACTATGGCCCAAAAGTTCTTCAAATTCTTGCATTTTCATTCAAAAAGGGCTAATTGTTCCAACCTTATTCTTCCAATTGTTGAAATGTTATATGTATTTTGGAAGGTTTAGTCCTCATTTAACTTGGAAATAGTATTATGCAATTAGAATTTTTACATTTTAGAAAGTATATTTGGTAAAGTAAGGAAAATTATGCCTATAATTTTACATGTTTAATGAGATTTCTTCTCTTTACTTAATTTTGCAAGTAAGTGATTGATATAGTCGATAAAGGTTATACTCCTCCTTTGATTATTTCTATAAATATTTTTTTTTCTATGAGGGAAAAATAAAGAAAAAAAAAAGAGAAAAAAGAGAAAGTAAATAAAAATTGTTCTACTCCAATGATTCATGTACCGAGTAACCGGGAGTTGGCATCAACAAATGTTGACATTCGCGTAAAAAGGTACTTAAATTAAGAGTATGCATAGCAACTTGAATAAGTGAAATGTTGAGTAACCGGGGATCTTCACCTAAAAGTGTCGATTTTCGCGTAAAAAGGCATTCTCACTATTTAAGTAAAATTTGTGTGAATAAATCCCTCTTAGTTATAGAATTTTGAGAAAAAGATGATTATAGGAGGAGGAAAGCTATAAATTGACTATGTGATTCGCTTATTTGTAAAATTAAGTTAGGGTAAGAGATTAAGTTTAACTTGTTGAATTTAGGGTATAATTATCTTTCCTTTACTTGATATTATGAGTATTTAGTGTAAATTGAATAATTGTATAATGATTATTTTCCAAGTCTTGAGGAATTAAATTGGACAAAGTGCATATATTGTTTCACCTCTTGAATCATTGCATTTGATTATGTGTGAATTGCTTGAGGACAAGCAATGATTTAAGTGTGGGGGAGTTTGATAAGTGACTAATTTACGTAATAATTGTATGATATTTTATATTATTTTTAGTCACTTTGGATATATTATTGGAAGAAAATGATTCATTTTGGCTATAATTGGTATAAAATGCTTTTAAGTGGTTAAATGAGGTTTTTTATCACTTTTTACTTGGATTTTGTGTATTTTGACAGTTTTGACACATTTTCGTATTTCGGCTATAACTTGAGTTACAATGATCGGATTGGGATGATTCTTGAACCCATTTGAAGATAAGAGATAGATCTACAACTTTGGTGAAGACATCCGAATCCAGTTTGAAGGTTTTCAAAATCAAAAAGCCGAATTACATTAGCTAATTTCTGTTGGTCGAAGCTGAAACAGGGCAATGAGCAGACAAGGGTATTTCAGTCATATCTCAGCCTACATAGACCCAAATGAGGTGATTCTTGATGCATTGGAAAGATAACTCAAAAGGCTACAACTTTCGTGTTTTACACATGAGCTGGTTCAGCCTCTAACATCAAGAAAAGATCGGTTGAAGTTGGGCCAAAAACAGAGCAAGTGATCCACACTCGGATCCACTATTCATCCGAACCCTCGGCTGTTTCTGGGTTAGTGGATCCGAGCTCGGATCCATACGGATCCGAGCCACTGTAGCAGCTCAGATCACTGGTCAGAAAAGGCTACTTTATACGCGTAAAACTCAATTTCACCTCCACCAACTCACATGTGATGCTAGACATGTGAGAAACATTCCCAGCTGTAAAAGGGAGTTGAAAACATCATTTCTTGACCAACCTTTCATCATTAAATAGCCAAATTCATTGCAAAAGGAAAGGGAGAGAGCAAAAGGAGATAGAGAGAGATACGGGAGAAACTTGGTCTGCAACAATGTAGTTCTTTCATCTTCTTAGTAGTAGGTTAGTTTAGTTTAGCTAGTAGTTCATCCTTTCTTGTTATTAGCTAGATTAAGAAGAAGATGGAGGATGAAGAAGGCAAGGAAGAAAGCTCATGTGACAAGGGTTGTATTCCTTCCAAACTCTTTATCTTTTGTACTTGATTCCAAGTTTAGTTAATATACAAGTTCTGGATTTTGTGTTTAATATGTGTTTTTAAAGTTTATACCTTGGGTTTGGTTGAACTTTCTATGATTGTTAGTGTTATTTATTTGGTTATTTGATTGCTATGATTTGAGCAAGTTATTTAGCACTTTGACTCTTTAAATCATGATTAATCTGGTACCATTGATCGTGATTATTTAAGGTGTTGTTTCTGCAATGGAAATTGAGATTTAACACTAGTTCAAGAAGTGCTAAACATAGGGAGTACACTCACGAAAGTAGAGGTGCACTTATATGGTTTTTAGTGATTCATTTCATGTAATTTCATTGAAGAAATGAACTTGTAGCTAATTTCATAACCATGAAAATAGGTATGGATTAGTTATGAGTATAGTTGATTCACTACGAAAGTAGGTTTCACATGTTTAAGGAAATTACACCATAACTAGCCTAGATGTAGTATTCAATGATCCAAATATAGCACTTGCATGAGTAGTTAGGGATACCACAACCTAAGGAGCTTTTATTTGCTATTTTCTTGCATAATTTCAGTAGGTTTTAATTTGTTATAATTCATTGATAGTCTAAATAATAGAGAAGCTTAAGTAGTACCGGTAATTGCAATCTTCCTTGTGGGATCGACCCTTAATACCCTATACTAGCTCACGATTCGTATACTTGCGATAAATCGCGTGTGGGGTATTTAGGAGTTTATAAATGTAAAACTTGATTAGGATGAGCTTAATTGTATATGTATACTCCGCGCACGTCAGCATGTTACATTAACTTGCTGTTGTGACACTTTTAGGAAAATGTCATATTAAGTGTGTGACTAAAGGTGCTTTTTGTAGTAGTGTGGGGCCCCTATTTTTTCAATTGACGCTATTTCATTGGTCAAAGAACAACTATTAGATTTGCCAAATAATTGACAAAATCTTTTGTTACCATGCTGCATGCATGGATAGAAACTTAGTTAAACTTTCAAGAAACTCCATTTTGCAGGAAGAAACCCCACACGAAGTATACAGCGAAGATGAGGAAGGGAAGACCATAATATGGCACTTGCCTCGTAACAACTTCACCATCATGGTGCTGTGGTCCCAATTCCTTGTCTCCGCCTCAGAGATAGTAGTCAATGGCACACAAACCGGCAGTTTTCATCTGCACCTGGACAAGGTTGATGAGAGTTGGGTGCAAAAACTACCAGCCCTAGATTATGCAGTTATCTCAACCGCCAACTGGTTCTTCAGATCCAACTACGTGTACGAGGGTGGTCATTTTCTTGGATGTATTTACTGCCCGGACCCAAACGTGACGCACCTTGGCCCTGACATTGTTATACAAGGAGCTATTAGGCTTGCTCTTAAGTCCATCAACGACTGCAACAACTGCTCGAGGATAGTGACTTTACTGAGAACATTCTCACCACCCCAATTCGAGAACGGCACATGGAACATGGGAGGTACTTGCATGAGAACACGCCCATTTGCTCCAGAAGAGATTAACAACAGTGGCCTGGATTTGGTTTACAGGAATGCCCAACTGGCAGAGATTGATAATGCCCGCAAATTGGGAGAGGAAAAGGGAAGAGCATTTGATGTTATAGATGTTACTGAAGCTATGCCAATGAGGCCTGATGGCCATCCTGGATTACATTGGGATAACCGATGGAACAAGGGACTGAGTGATTGCATCCATTGGTGCTTGCCAGGGCCTGTTGATACTTGGAATGAATTTTTACTTGAATTGCTCCGAAGACATTCCAGCTTTCCTCTGAGCTCTAGAAGGCATGCATCAGAAGATGTTAAAAATCAATACTCGAACAATGAAAGAGTTTTAAACTCCAACAAGGTCACCAATGGATTTAACGGTTTGTTGAGGTTGAGCCGGTCCTAGAGGCTATGATAATGTGGGCTGTGTTTTGGCAGTTAATATTGAAGGGACTCTTGGCAATTATAACTGTAATAGCACTATACAATTCATGGTTCGGAATGGATGAATTTGAAATTGGACAGATTAGATTGATTTTGGGATACAAATTTTAGTGAGTGGGTTTTTTTTTTTAAATTTATGTCTTTGCACGTTATTGTATTCGTTTGTATATTTATTGTCTTAGTTTTTACATTTTTTGTAGTAGTGCTTGCACGGTATGGTATATATATATATATATATATGTATATGTATGTATGTATGTATTACAAGGAGGGTTTTTAGAATGGTTAAATCAAAATGCTTATAACTTTTCACTCTTTTTTTAAAAAATTTTGAATTTTTTTAATTGTTATATATCCTTTCATGTCTTTTGAATTTAAAAAGTAAGAAGTGACCCACTTATATAAGAGTTTGAATTGAAATCTATTAATGTGAGGGTACATAAAGAGAAAACATCACCAACCCTACTAAAAGTAAAAAAGTAAATAACAATAATTTACCTTTCAACTTAGTAATCCTAACTAAAAGGGCATATTATAAAGAAAATAATATTCATTGGTCATGGATTAAAAAAATCAGGAATGGTACCATTTGTGAATCCTCAATTATAAAATCACTAAATAAAAAACAGAGTACTACTAAATAAAACAGAAATTATGGATTTCAAGGCTTTTGGGAGAATGGTGAAAGGAAAAGAATAGGAATTGGGAGGCAAGAATAGGAAGCTAGAAGCTAACTATAGGCGAGGGAAAGAGAATAACGACGAGTTAAAAAGTGGCGGAAAAAGTCGAAAAAAAAGGTGAACTACTACAAGGTTGGACGGAGAGAGACGAGAAGAAATAATGGGATTGTGGGAATATGATAGGAAGGATGGCATCGTGGTAAGATGTCTGAAAGTCATAGAAGGTAGTGAATAACCAATTAGCACTTAAGAGAGAATAGGAAGGGTGATAATTTTTAATAATTTTAAAAATTTTAAAAACACATCATACAAAGATTGTTTTAAATCTATATTAAAGTTTATGAAGAAAATTATTCTATTTAAGTACTCAATAATTTTAGGATTATAAGTTGAGAAAAAAAATTTTCTAAAATTGACGAAAATGAATTAGTTATACTTTATATATGTTATGCTAAAAATTTTGATATATGGGCATAACATGATATATTGATAAATAAGTTTACAATTGCTCTTTCATGTGAATCATTATAAATTAAATTATTTTATGCAAATTATTATCATATATTGACAGGTAATAGGCAAATAAAATTTGGTTTCAACTTATTTAAGATATTAAAATTAAGAAAGTCCATTTTGTACTTACAAAATAAACTTTTTTCTAACATGCTAAGCCTACACTTTTTTGAATTTTTTGCCTTTTTCATATACTTTATCATATACTATAATATATAAGTATATATATTATTGTTTTGAATTTAAATATAAAGCCCCTATCCAGTAATATATAAGTATATATATTAGTATTGTTTTGAATTGAAATATAAGCCTGCTCATAGCACATGTCAAAGTGCTAGTTACCAGTATTGGGAATTGTAGAGGTGCCGGATCTGTTAATATCCTCGCAAACCTCTCATGTGAGATTGAGGAGAAAATCCCAAAAAATTTGATTATCGAATATATATATATATATATATGAAAGTAACTATTTTAATTAGACTCTTTCTCATCCTAGTTGGCATGCTCAATTGAGCAGTATTGACGGGTCAAGTTTTTTTTTGGGTTGACCCAATTAATTGGTTAGTGTTAATAATATTGTTTTTTCCAAACTTCTAAAATAGACATATTTTATCCACTTAATCATATATATTTCAAAAATACGCATATTTTATCCACTTAATCACACATCTTTCAAAATCCTACGTTTTAAAAACAATCACCTCATCTTTTTAATTTTTCTCTTCATAATCTCCAACTTTTATCTTCATATGTAATTAGATAGAATTTATCTTATTTTATAAGAGAATTTAGTCTCCACTTCTTTTGATTATGAATAGATAAACCTATTATCTATTGTCAAAATTCATTCAGATATAAAATAATCCTTATCATCAAAATTGAAAATCTTATTCTCATATCAGATTAACCTCAAATTTGAAATCCTATACCATACTTATAAAATGTATTAGTTAGTGATGATTTCAATCATTTCAACAACTATTTGGTTCATCTAATGGTTTCTACATTTTTTTTTTTTTGAGAAACTTTATGACGATTTAGTGGTGGTTCTTTTGATACATTAGTTTTATAACTTCTAGACTAGAGTACTATATGTTTAAAAAAACGTTTGCCCACCTTTTTAGGTTTTTCAGGTATATAAGATGATTTTTAAAAATACAATGCGTTTGCGCAATGTTTTTGTTGACTATATGAATGTATGGTAAGTTCCTACTTTTTTTTGTACCTTCTTAATTGCTTTATTTATCAGATCCTTTTTTTAATATAGGTTTAATTTTGCACCACGAAGATAGCATTTGAACATCTAAGCTTCCAATCATGGGAATGTACAATGCATGTGTAAGTTCTTCCAATTTACATTAGTTCAATTAATTAGTTCGTTCCTTGCTCTGTCTTATTTATTTATTTATTTATTATTTAATTCTATTTTAGTTAATTGATTATGGCGTGGCAATGGAAACAAGATGGACTTGCATGCTAAGCAAGATGTATTTTTTTTAAGAGAAGAAAGATGAACGTTTTCAGAAATTAGTTGACTCATATATGTATATATATATATACACACACATATATATTGGAATATTGTTCCCAAATCGAGTTTTTACCCAATTTATGTTTCACTACTCCTTCTTTTAATCCTATTTAATAATTCTATATATTTTCAATTTATTAAAAGGATTTGGCAATTCTTTGTGGGAGAGGACCAGTGCGATTGAGGTTTGATACGGTTGAGTCCAGTAATTGTACTTTTCATATTATTTAATATACAATTACATGACATTATTGAATTCGAAATAAAAGTGATGTATATGAATAAAATATTTGATATATATTCAATACAACATTATAATAAATTTGTACATTAAAAATTTTAACATATATAACGATTGGACGAAACTGTACAAAACACAATTGTACTGAGTCCTTGTCCATTCTTTGCGCTATTCAATTGTTTGCACTTGTGCTGTGTTGTAGATTTACTTTTATTTCCATCTTGGAGTACCTTAATACCTAAAATTCACCTTCACGAATAGATCTTTGCTAAGTAATAGCATGTTCACTAGGGCTGCCCTAATGGTTAACCGACAGGCTTTTGGAATTCTCCCAATCGTTAGGATTAGGGTTCGAATTGTGTACCTCTACTTAGAAATGTGGTGTTTTAAAAAAATAATTTAATAATAGAGGTTTTGGTATTAAAATCATTTTTTGGCTTTTTGCATAAACTCAAAATTAGTGCTTTTGAAATAACTTTCACATTTCAAAAAATAGAAAATAAGAATCTGATCTATTCATCAGAAATTATGAACTAAATAAAAAGATAAATGTACCCATAATATGATCAAGTACTTTTACCGAAAGTTTTATTAAATGAAGTGATCTTTTTTTTAACTGTAATTTCAAACAGGCATTGAACAACTTCGAATCTGTAATATTATTTTTGTCGTATTCATGAACAACTTTTCATGTCAAACCAAAAATCCCAGTTGGAATTGAGAGCAGCCATGAGGCCCATCACTGCAATTACTTGACGATGCGGGCCGGAGTACTGAATCCGAATCACATTCTCCAGATGCCATGGCACGGCTCATTATTAAGTCCTACAAAAGCACATGGAGCATACTATACAGGCTCATAATTTTGCAGTACCGCCGGCCCAAATGGCATGTACATGCTCAACAAATAACATGTCAGGGAATTGAGTATATTTGGGAAATTAGGAAGAGGTATTAGAGAAGAGAGAATCAAGAAGGGTAAGGACAGAAGAAGATGAGAAATAAGGAAGAACAAGAGAGAGAAATGAGAGAAAAATGATTCTGTTATTACTTCATGGATGATTCCACCAATCGGATACAAGCATCTTATAACTTATTCTGTTAACTGCACTTAACTAACACCATTAACCCTCAAAACTACACCGTTCCATTTATTACACTGAATAATGATCTAAACTATGTCGTTTATAGCTCTGATCCTGACATTAACTACTTCAAAATAAGCCTTGACCTCGAGGCTGGAAATTTGGGAACTGGTGCTGAATGAAATCTTTATCCTTCCACAGAGCTTCATCTAAATCTAGTTGCTCCCATTTGATCAGATATTGGACAACTGGATTGCCATTTCTCAGTTTGACTCTTCTCGTCAAAGTTAATTCTAGCTCAAGTGAACGCCAATCCTACAAATTAAATTTTGGAAATGTAGGTGTGATCTGTAGTGATGCTTCCATTCTTCTCTTCAGCAAGGATACATGGAACACCGGATATAATTTAGCTCCTGATGGTAATTTCAGCTTGTATGCAACCTCTCCAATCTTTTCTTCTTTTTCAAGAGGACCATAGAATTTGGCAGCCAACTTATGACTCCTTCTAACTACCACAGATTATTGTTTATATGGTTGCAATTTAAGAAAAATCCAGTCCCTCACATGAAATGTTCTCTCTGTTCTATGTTGACCAGCAAATTGTTTCATCCTGTGCTGAGCTTTCATCAGTGTTCCTTGATGCGTGCAGATATCCTGATCCTTTCCTGTAACATTTGTGCTATTGCAGGAATCATAGAGTCCAAATGGGGTCCCATAAGTAGTGGTACTAACTTATATCTATATAATGCCTCAAAAGGGGTGAGATTTAGACTGGAGTGATATATTGAATTGTACCACTATTCTGCCAATGAGATCCATTTGCTTCAATTGGTAGGCAGCTCTCCAATCATACACCTCAGATAAGCTTCTACACAATGGTTTAATCTCTCGCTCTGCCCCATCAGTTTG